TTTTTTTTTTTTACTTTTATTTAGCTTAGAATTTAATATTTTTTGTTTCCACAAAAAATTAAGCAGCACAAGTGTTTTCAACATTGTAAATAATAAATGTTTCTTGAGCACCAAATCAGCATATTACAATGATTTCTGAAGGATCATGTGACACTGAAGACTGGAGTAATGGCTGCTGAAAATTTTGCTTTTCATCACATAAATAAATGATTTTATTCTAGCTATGTTCCAAAACCTAGTTAGTCACCTTGCTGCCTACATAGACAGCATCTTAACCATCATGGAACCTCAAAAGTAACCAATTTGGTGCACTCTGTTTAGGTAGAATGTCACATACTGTAAAAGTGAGAAAGTGAGAAAAGGATGAGCTTAAGAGAGTGGAAATGTGAAATCCCCAGTATATAGCAATATATGCAATTGCTTAGACATGAACAACCGTCAATCATTTAATTGACCCTCGCATTGAGTTTTCAATGAGGCTATTAAACTTTATATTAAATGCACCAGTTCAGCTAGAATCTGGAGGTTTACTTGCATTGCCTGTGTTAGGGGATTTAATCAGTGGATTAAATCTTTTGGGGGTTCCCTTCGGTGGTGTAGTCTGCAGAAAGGGGGTTTCCCATGTTAAAGCTAGAGATTACGGTTTAAAAAGTTTTAAATATGGATATTTTTTTCTTACAAAAACGCATCGATTCGCTTCAGAAGGCCTTTATTCACCAGTAGCTGTAGTGCAGTAGCTGATATTTATATGGTCAAAAAGTTAATGATATTCTGTGGCTTGTAATGTAAATCAATGAGATCTTTTTAACAGTAGAGCAGACTAATTTCATAAAATGCATATAAATATCAGTCATTACTCTATATCTCTCAATAATATAGAGTCCCAATGTCTTAGTAAGATTATATTTAAATGCTTACTTATATGATCAAATCTCTGTAGTTTTTATTGTGTTGTCAAACTTATAATGCAATGCAATACAGTGATGATTGACAGATGTACAAATAAAATTTTTACTTGTTTTACTTGCATTTTAACAATTTTTCTAAACAATTATCTATTGATAATTGATAGTGTCTTGTAGGGAGCACTGCACAGGCTTTATAAAGGCTCACCTTAATGAAGTTTGTTCAGATATTCCCAATCAAACTAAAGTAATCCTGCCGCCCCATTCATTCTTGCCATGCCAATTCCTGCCATTACTTCCATTTGCTCTAGACGGATCTGCTGAAAAGAACAACACCTAATTACTGATTCAAAATGGAGGAAGTGAGCGGGGGAGATCAGGGGGAGACTGGGCCCCGTCCCGCTGTGGAGAGAGATACTCACAGCCGACGTCCCGGGGCTATTGTGTTTTCCAGTCGGGCTACCAAAATGTATCACCACTCTGCCCAACGGGCTATCTTAAATGCAGATCTCCTGTGGGTCCTTAAAAAAATCCTAAAGTGAGTTGTATCAAACTTAAGGCCATAAAAAGTTTTAAATATGTTAAATGGTATAAGAAATGTCTTAATTATAATTTCAAGAGGTCTTACAGTTGGGGACGGAAAGACAAGAGTCGCCATACGGCTGGATTAAACTTCAAAAGGCAATGATGTCATTGAATATATATGAGCTGCACGTTTCATGTCAAAACGAGCGCGGATGTCTTTATTTGAATGTATCTGAAGGGAACCGACTGTCCTCAGAAACATGTCGTTGGCATTTTAATTTCATTTTACCTATAATTCCTGATAAAGCAGTGTTTATTAGCTGCTTTGTGTACAGCCGTTACAGGGGAAACCACAATATTTTAGCGCTCCTAAAGCGCCACTTCGTGGCAGAGAATGAATTTGTGTTTCCAACAAGACTTTCTTGCTGTTTATGGTCAGATCAATACAAATATCAACTCATGTATTTATGCAGCAAACACACAGAGTTGTAAATGAGAAAGAAGTTAATGTGCCTTCTAAAAATTTAAACAATTAAGACAGTAATATTTATACGTTTTAAATTGACAATTTATATGCTTGATTTATCCCTTTTCATATAATGGTCTAAAGGCTGAAATGCTGTTGTATAAGATTTTTGTTTTTGTTAAAACCTGTATCTGAACTGTAAATCATGTAATTTTATGGCTCAGTACTGTATGTTACCATAGACATTGTCCAACCCCACTCATACTGTGTTCCTTTTACTTGTGCAGCTCTTAAAATGGGTCATAAATTGCCTTAAATTTATTTTTGAAAAATTCTGCAGATACACTAAATAGTGAAATAAAATCCCTTCCTTCATATTTGTTGATATTTGTGTATTGAAAATATTTTTGATTGACATTTAAACTCCAATTTGATTTTCTATATTAAAAAAAAAAAGTCTTTTTTTATTTGGGCTAGTTAAATAAATTTTCGGGCTACCAAAATCTGAAGAGTACCTGCCCGAAGGGCTACCAGGGATTTTGAAACTTTGCGAGCACTGCACAGATTCTTTGTTATTCTTAGAGCAGCCATGACAACCTTGTAACTGCAATAATCAACTTAGGGCTCCTCGGAGATGAGACAAGAGATAATGTCAGGGTACAACAACAAACACAAGCTCAAAAGACCTGCAGACGCTTTTGTGTACAGCAGAGCACTGCAGTGTGTCTGCGAACCTCTGGAGGTCAATAAGAGTACATGTGCAGCAGGAAAAAACATTTGAGCTACACCAAGTGAGAGAGCGAATAGGACAAAATGTGGTGAACAGATGGAGAAATGGGGCAGTTTTATCCAAGGATAAAAGTCAAGGCAACATTTTCAATTTTTGTTTAGGGTTTTCACCTAATATTTATTTTTGTTTTATTTCAGTTTTATTTCAATAACAAAAAAATATTTTTGGTAGGTTTTTTTAATAATAATAACAACACTGAAGACAACAAAAATCTCTGACGCCACTAACCACAAACTTTTGGCAAATCCAGTGATTCCTTCCTCAAAATGGGAACTGTATGAACCCCACGACCTTGACTTTGTTTCTGTACTGAAAAAAAAACCCTCTCTGCCCCGGAAGTTGCATAAAGTCAGCCAACCAGAATGAAACGGACATGCCATATTGGGCTGAGACTAGTAAAATGCAACAAACACTTACTCGTCAAATCAATCTGAGCAAATTAATAGTTAGTCAAGATGTTTAAAGTAGAAAGTTGATACTCAAAATGAGTGTTTATCTATGAGATGTCTACAGTATGTACAGTATGTGAGTGTTACAGGTACAAATGTCAGCATGCACACAGGACAGAGTTTTTATGTATTTGGATCTTTTTTCTGTCACCTTGTGAAGGTGACATGAGCGCAGATGTTAGCAACATGTTTTGTAAATCAGCAATGCTCTCACACTCCAATCCTCCTCCATTGGCATGCCATCATAGCTCTCTTGTTCTCTTTCTGTTCCTGTGAGTAGGTGTGATGTCTGCCACCTCGAGGTTCAGACCTGCCACTGTATTACGGCCCATCAACCGTTTGCTGCCTCATAAACTGACATGACTCTTTAATGGTGACCTTAACATTACCTCACATCTTCTGCTCACAAGTCACTGCACCTGATGGTTTTCAATGCAAATATCTGTCCTAACTGGTCTGTCATAAAATGAGAGGAACCAAATATTCCAACACCAGCATTTCAATGTGAATAGCATTTCACACAGACTTTAACGGCATGCAGACAAATGAGTGCTTTGGTTCTTATTAGAGCATTTTAAAGATTTAGTCCATGCTTTTGACGTGTACATGTGTGCATGGCAGCTGCGGTGTGTATACAGCGTTATCAGAAAACACACTCATCAGGACAGGGCTGGAAGCTGAACTACTCTTTTACAAAACACTGACAGCAAGGACTGCAGCTTGCGCTCTCTCATATCTCTCTCTCCTTCTGTCTTTCACACACACATGCACAATTATGATTAAGAGTCCACAAATCACACTGAGAAGAGCTCCCACACATGTTCAGCCACGTTCATGCAGGCAGTTATGCAAAATACTGGCACAATAGACGGTCAGTACCTGTGCTGAACACTGGCCTCTAACACTACATCCACCAAACTAGCAGTTCTCATCAGAAGACCGGACGGACACTGACATCTTAGTAAAGAGAAACAGAGATTGTGGGACAAAGAAGGACAGTTTTGTGAATAGACTTGCAGTATTTGTTAGTGTAGTATCAGAGGCTGCAACAGAACTAGAAAAACGTGAAGTCAGCTGAATGCTGACGTTTCGAGAAACGCTGAGGAGGAGTAGCAGAAGAGGCTTAAGGTCAACTCTTGAGGTATATGTCTTTACTAAGCTCTCCCAGGTTTGGACACCCTGAAATGTAAGCTATAAAAAATGAACAGCCAGGAATTAACTCCCCATTTAAATGTAAATTAATAATCTGTCATTATTTACTCACTCTCATGACATTACAAATCTTTATGAAGATGCGTACCATAATTACAAGATTCCAGCTTGTAAAAAGCATTCACGTCCTCATATAACTCGTTATTACAAACTTTGAATTTTTTGGGAGCTCCAACTTGTACCACCTGACCACTGCAACATCATGCAGAAACACCCAATATGTTTGCAACTTTAGCAGAGAAATGTAGTTTAGTTATTTTGTAATATATTAACGCAAAAATAATCTGAAAATAAAATAACTAAAATAATGTATTAAGTTACCTAGCGAGTTGAACAACTATCTGTAGAAAACGCTCTTAAGTTTATTAAAAATGCATTTGCATAACAACTTTACTTGCATTATTGTTTTGTTTATTGATTGCTCAACTCCAAAATTAATCCGTGTAATTTAATAATGTTGCCACAGAAAGGAGTAATTAGTAGAATGTTCTGAGTTGTCATCTAGTAAGTATGCTGAGTCAATGCAGCATGACTTTCTTTCTTATGTGGAAATTTTAAAACATGTACTAATCGCTCTTTTTCATGCATATACAGTGAGTCTGAAGTCTGAAGCTTTTAAGGTTTAAAAAAGTACCACACGAATCAATGCAGCATGACTTTCTTTCTTATGTGGAAATTTTAAAACATGTACGAATCGCTCTTTTTCATGCATATACAGTGAGTCTGAAGTCTGAAGCTTTTAAGGTTTAAAAAAGTACCACACTACCTACAACTCATGCGACTGAAATTTAAGTCAATATATTTTGAAATCCACCCAAAATCTTGACATGGGTTCATGAAAGATGTCTAATTTGTGAACAAATGGACAATTTCTATAGTATTTTGCATCATTTATGAAAGCTTTTACCCTTTTACCCATCATTTTAGTAAAGGGCTGTATTTCCAAGTTTGGATGAACTACTCTTTAATGCTTTAGATGCTGTCTGACTGGTGGACACTTTGCTCAACATTTTACTGACAGATTGTCCTCAAGCCGAGGCATCGATGTGTTCACAGCTCCTTTGCCTAGAGTCTCATGCACTGTGAATCATACAGTCATTACATTTTACTCGTTCATACAAACATTCCTCTCGCTCATCACTTTAACCCTGGCGCTAATGCTAAACCTTGTTCTCAACGAGTTTAAAAGATTCCACGGCACACAAGGTGACCTCAGTCGGACCGCTCGTGTTGAAGTCCCATCTAGTGATCATCCAGAGCAGCAGTGTGAAGGCGCAACAGCTCATTAAAACATGGAAGTGGGTGGAGATAAAGACAAACAACATAATTAGCTTTAGCAGCCTTTAACATCATCTCTGAATAGTTTAGAAATGCTGCTTAATACATGATAGCAGCAATCCTGTAATTACGGCCTGCTCATGTTTCACCACTTGCATATTCTTCAGGAAGAACTCCCTATAAAAAATCTAGTGGCTACAAATGGTTACAAGGCTTTTTGGTCACTACTGTTAGTCCATCGTGAGATAGATTATCAGGACTATCTAAAGGGCAACCAGTCGTTTAAACTGTGTGCAAATTATAGGATGTACAAATGACATATCATTACTAGATGGATAAAGCAAGAAAGCAAATTTATTTATGCATCACATTTACAAACAACAGACATTGCCCCAAAGTGCTTAACAATGAAAACAAAACATTAAAATCAACAATTAAAAGATCTAAAATAGCTTATAGTAACAAGCATGTAGTGATTTTTAATATTTTATTGACCAAAAATGACAGTAAAGACTTATAATGCTACAAAACTGTTATATTTCATATAAATTCTGTACTTTTTAAACCTTCTATTCAACAAAGAAACCTGAATTTTATTTTATTTTTTACACAAAAATATTAAGCAGCACAACTGTTTCCAACATTGATAATAAAAAGAAATGTTCATGAGCAGCAAATCAGCATATTAGAATGATTTCTGAAGGATCATGTGACACTGAAGAGTGGAGTAAAGGTGCTGAAAATCCAGCTTTGCATCACAGGAAAAAATTACAATTTAAAGTATATTCAAATAGACATTTGTCATTTTAAATTGTAAAAATATTTCACAACATTGCTGTTTTTTTTTACTATATTTGATCAAATAAATCCAGCCTTGTATATATTCTCTAAAATATATATGTAAAACATACATATAAAAATTTTCCAAAAGTCTGTTTGCACCATTTAATCATATCGCTAATTGAGATATTAAGAGATTTTTCATATGGGTAATGTAAGAGCATGAGGATATAAATATACTATGCTATGACATGCACAGACAAAAACAAGCTTAGATTGGATGCTGCTCATGTGATGGAAGTCGAGATCGAAGCAAAGAGAGACATATCCACACCACGTCCTCTGTTTACAGGCACACATACAAGAAGAGCAAGATGTTGTGAAACAGAAACATGAGGATGTGAGCTGCATGCTATCACTCGTTTCACCCTCTCTCACTCTCAGCTGCTCTCTCTATCACACGTGGCATGCTGCGGTGAGGTGCGGTGCTCACAGAGCCTGAGGTTTCATTGACTGCAGTGTGCAGTGAGCGTGTGCGGAAAGTTTCTCCGCAGGCTGGAATAATAACCTTTCCAGCACATTCGTGTCCCGCGCCTCAGCCTCTGAATAAATCGTAATTCCTTCATCTCAGCATAAGTGAACCTGTATTGCTTCACTACATCTACATGTCACACGCTGATGTTCACGCCAAGCTAAAGTCCTGTTCTCAGGCTCAGCAGAAAGCACAACAGAATTATGTGCAGAACGTGTTAGAACTGCATTTTGTCAGGACGATTAGTGCAGCGTCCGGTGTGCTAATATAGGTCAGGTCACCTGGAGACCTGGAAGCGGCTTGTAGGCATTGTACTGTAGTAAGACATAGGTGGAATGAAGAGCTTGAAACTGTGATAAATATAGGAGTGAGGCATCGGGGCCAAAGAGTGTTAGTCTTTCTGTGTGCCAGGACAGGATGAAGAACATAGAGATGGGGTACAGGAGAGCAGCAGGATGGCAGAAGGGCCATCTGTCCTTTGAGCAAAGCGAACAGGGCTCTGAGCTACATGTGCAGAGATGAGACTCTTAAACCAGATTCAGAGCTCTTCTGATGAGCCAGTTTAGTAACGGCACAACAGTAGAGTGCAATATAGCGATGTCATTATTGCGGAATTTTTAGTTCAATCACAGATGTTGTTTCAAAGTTTCTTAAGAAATATTTATTAATGGCCGATTTCTATACAATATAACCAATCTGTGCTAATTTTTGCATACACACACACACACACACACACACACACACACACACACACACACACACAGAGTTCACACACAAACATTTAAACCAGTGGATCTCAACCAAATGAACCAGGATCCAGTAGAGGGCTTCGAGATGATTTATTCTGATGATCAGGATTATCTTATTTATCCACTAAACAACTGTTTTCTTTTTAAACCAGGATTCTTACTCTTACTGATTTCTAGATCTGAAAAAGTAATGTAAATTAATAACATTTTACAACTCCATGGATATTTAAAAAAAAAACTTCGTTACACCAAGTTCTAAAATATTTTAATAGGGTAAAAATTGTTTATTATTATTATTATTATTATTATTATATTTTTCAAACAATTCTCATCCTTAATCCTTTTCATCAATTCACAAACAACTGGAAAAATCATGGGGCCTTCAATTATTGTTGGCCTTGCTTGAAAACCACTGACTAACTGTACATAAAACTATACGGACTTTCAAAAATGCAAACATGTCAACAAAGAGCACTTAAATGTTTGAGTGACAATAGCAGTTCTGTGTGCGCGCATGTGAGTGTACCTGAGATGCAAGTCTCCTGATGTCTGGATAAACAGCTTGTTGATCTTTCAGCAGTAGAAAACAAATGATGCACCGTGACAAAACTATCCCTCCAATTCACAGAAATAGGATGCAATCTCCTGTTATAATTAACGAAACAGTCTACACTGCAGAAAAGTAGATAGATGCATAGATGAACATCATTTTGATGTTTTAAATGCATTCTAAATGCAGCAAAGCTTTGAACAGAGAATCAGTATGTTATCGGAGCACCAGACCCACACAAGTCAGATTTTTGACACATACGTACTTACAAATTGGTGCCTAATGGATTGATTAGGTAATACTACTAAAGTTTAATATAGAATAGCTTCTTAAATATATGAAATGTTTATATTGATGATACAGGTAAGTGTATGTGGATTTGTTAAATATATGGAATATATTGTGGATATAAGTGTGTGTGTGTGTTGAGCTGGTTGTAAGTTAATGAGGAGCTCCGGTGGTGTCAGGCGGTGTCCTGTGGTGTGGTCTTTTCTTTAAAGAAGGTCGCCAGTCATTAAACTCCAAACAGAGATCCACCAACACGTCATTCTAAATACAGAGAAATAGCATAAACAACACTTTACAGCATTCAGTGGCAAATTATTATCTTTATATAGCATGTGCTGAATCTTTTAACAAAAGCTCGACATGGCAGACAATAGTGTAAGGATGTATTTTTACTATGAGGTGCTGATGGAGATAACACAAGGAGACGTGAGGGAATTGGACATTCTGGTTTTGGATTCAAGCCACAATGTTTTATTGCATATCACATTGTGTACAAATATGTATCAATGCCTCCACCTTGACAACATGTAGGCATCTGTGGTAGACCGATCTAAAGCAGGTATCTTGCCTGTGGGCTCACCAGGAATCATCCCACACCCTCCAGGATGAGGAGACAGGAATGAGAATAGCAGGGCTCGCAAAATCGCTAGTCCGACGTCCCGGGGCTATTGTGTTTTCCAGTCTGGCTACCAAAATGTTTCACCACCCTGCCCGATGGGCTATCTTGTAATATATCTTTTTATATCTATTACAAGATATAAAATTTCTTCATTGATCTGCGTTGTTCACTAGCTTGTAGGGGTAAAGTTCATCGTTTGCACGTGTCAAGTCTTGCCGATTTAAACATTCAAGTGTTTTAAACCATTCACGCGCATTCGGAGCTGCGTGCACTCATTCGAAGCGCGCACAGAGACCTGTGTTTCAGACAATGCGCATACACAGAATTGATTCCTCTTTTGCGTATCATTGCATCTGAATGAACACATACACACAAAATTATCTCAAAATAACTGTCTCGGCAAGTATTCTCATAAACACAGTCGGTTATGTCTTTTTTCATTTATTATTTGTCTTAAATCTCATTTTTGTTAAAAAGAAAAATTGTTGAGTGAGTGAATCGTTACATCCCTATATGCTACTAGTTTTTGCTTTGGGATAAAATAAGTATTTTGTTATTTTAATAATAAAGAACCATATTTTTTTTGCTCATCTGCAAAATGACCTGATCCGTTACTCAAAATCTGATATGATGATGCAATATGATCCGAGCCGTAGGTTTTGTGATCTGTTGCACCCCTACTCTCTTGACTTGTTATTTGAAGAAAAAAAGCGATCACTTTAGTTTTTAATCATGCTGATTTGTCCGCAGTGAAGTTCAGCCGGTGTCCTTTTTTTTATTTTTTTTTTATTCGGGCTACTTAAATTCATTTTGGGCTACCAAAATCTGGAGAATGTCTGCCCGAAGGGCTACCAGCGATTTTGAAATTTTGCGAGCCCTGGAATAGGGAGGGACAGAGATGCTGAACACAGCAATGCTCAATTATGTGGATATCTGGGAAGTTAACACATTGCTTTGTGAAGCTTCATTGCTTTTGTGACCTCAGCTGTCTAACTCTCCATGTAAACACATGACTATATCACAAATCATCTTTACACATTCTTCTAACTAAAGACACACTGCATCAATGGACACCAACACTGTTTGTTTTTGTTGGATCAGTGTGTTAACCCTGTTGTTCACCTGAGTTACGAATGCCAAGTGACTAATCATTTGGAGGCACAAGAAAATGACATCATGGTCGGCTACATTACCCAATAGCACCACAAGACCATATACAGTAACAAACCATTCACTATAGTGACTATCCTAAGCTGTGATGTCAAAGGCAGCAAAGGAAAAATAAAAATCCATTTCACATTTTTAAGAGCCTCCAAAAAAATTCAAAATATCTACTATAAAAATGCAAATATTTAATTGTGTTACCCACAAAAAAATTATTCTGATCCAGATGCCTTTGCATGGGCATCATTGAAAGAAAAACAAACAAAAAAACGTTATACTACCAGAGTGTGTCGACCAGAGGTCAATACCAGGCCATGCTAACCTGACAAAAACTAGATCCCTTGGTTGAGACAGTGAACCAGCCTTATAGGGACAGTCCATCCAAAAATGAAAATTCTGCCATCATTTACTCACCCTCATATCATTCTAAACCTGCATTACTTTCTTTTTTATGTGGAACACAGAATATACAGTGAAAGTCAAACATTTACTTAAAGAGCAAAATATCTAGATATTATATAGGTTTTACATTAGAAGAGTACAATGTTCAGTACATGCATACTGGCTACGTTCTGAGACTTCTTGTTGCAGACTTAAAACATCAAAGGGCAACAAGCTTCAGTCTGTAGTATGGCTTGGCTTAAAGCACAAGCCTGTCAGTGTCAGCCTTTCAAATGCTGCACTTCATTACAAGCAAATGGGCCTGACTTAATGAAATCAGCTGCTTCTGTCTCTGTCACAGGGTATTTACTGACAGTCACAACAGTCATAGCTCTCTAAAGAGAGACTATTCAGTGAGCATCTTTTTTCGCTAACCCACAGCTTAAAAATGTAATTTATAGTTAATTTTAGAACAAAAATAAAATATCCTGTTGTGCAATCTACATTGTTAAAAGCCTACTGTTAAATTAACTTTAAAAAAAAAGGCATATTTCTGTATTATAATGCGTATTGGTGCCTGTATATTTTACAACTTATTTTATAACCGTATATTTCATCAAGGGACAATGTTCATATACTTGAACCACCAAAATCTGCTTTTTACTTTAAAATGTACAGATAACCAGGTGGTAAGATGAATTAGAGTTCAACACAAGTTGCCTGTCTACACACTCATGTATAGAAGGTGCAAAGGGTCATACACAAAGACAGAACAACATCAGGGTTACAATACACACATGGCATCAAATCAATGCGATAAACACAAAATGCAACACAAAACACCCTAATGTACATTACTGACAACAAAAAAAAAAAACGATTTAAATTAAAAAAAAATGCTGAACATCAATGTGATGCGTCACACAGGGACTTCTGTAAATGTTCTTTAACTGTTTTTCAACGTAAATAATATGACAATTCATAGTTTTTGCTTCCAAAAAAACATACATTTTACAGTAAATATTTTTAAAGCATCTTACAGTTAACCAATTAACAAAAACAGCATTTTTTTACTGTAGGATGTTATATGTATTTTTTGTTCAAATTAAAACAGTGTTCCTGAAACATTTAGAGCGATACATTCAAATTTACTGGCGTAGTGGTGGTGAGACTGTAACAGATGACAGTAGAGATGTTCAGCACCGCTCAGTGCAGTGACAGCCCTTATCCCACAAAGCCTTGATCCATTAAAACTCCTCTACTGCTAAAACTGATGCCTGACAGGAGTGAAGGGTAAAAAAGTCACTAATATGGGATACTTTTCTCGAGCTGTTTTAAAATCATTTCTAAATGAAATATACATTTTCATTCTGTGAGAAACCAGGAGATGAGAAGCAATGTGTGATGCAGGGCTGACAAACACACAAAAAGATTAAACATAACACAAACCTAATGTATAGCTTCAGAAGAATATACTGTGCACAAATCATAGGCACAGACCCCATTCCCTTTCACTTTGTCACTGCATGGAAAAGAGAAGCCAGAACTTTCTTCAAAACATCTCCTTTTGTGTTAGATGAAAGAAAAAACAGTACTGGTTTGTGAGTAAATATAAAAATATTTTGTGCGTGTGTGTGTGTGTGTGTGTGTGTGTGTGTGAGAGAGAGAAAGAGCACTATATCTTTAGACATCTATCCTTTCCTCCCCTCAGGTTACAGTGCAAGACAGCTAAGAGAGTCTGTGATTGTTTGCTCACCACTTATTTCTGATTTGTTGTCTTGGCTGTCTCTTAATGTAAATGATTCCTTCTCTTGTGTGTGTGTGTGTGTGTGTGTGTGTGTGTGTGTGTGTGTTCCTCCTCATGGCACTCAGAAGTGTTGATACAGCCGTCACACAGATATTTTTTTCATGGTTGCGGGACTGAAGTAATCACAGATTCTGCTTTAGCTGAAATCAGGCTCGGCTCTTGAAAGATGTGGCCTCTTGGAGTTATGATTGATGATCAGCTGCATTTCACAGACCTCATTGTTAGAACTGTCCAGTCCTGCAGATTTGCCTTATACAACATCAAGAAGATCAGGCCCTTTCTATCAGAACATGCTACACAACTCCTTGTTCAAGCTCTTGTTCTGTCCAGGCTGGACTATTGCAACGCTCTCTCGGCAGGTCTTCCAGCCAGTTCTAAAAAACCTCTGTAACTAATCCAGAATGCGGCAGCATTCAGAATGAGCCGAAAAGAATGTATGTCACACCTCAGTTCATGATGTTCCTCCTAACACTGAAGCGCATACACACACACCTCATAATCGTCACTCCAGAGTGTGTGAAATCAGCTTCAGAGAACAAGGGCACAGCTATTTTCATCAGCTGTCATCCTCACAACGGATTATTTCCATTCGTCTTCATGAGTCTATCATATATAAGACTGAGCCTGGAGACACAGAAGTGAATGTCAGTGTACACAAAACACTTTTGGTATATGTATATCCAAAGACCTGTGTATCTACGACATTATTCAGTCCTTTGAAAAATGATGTAAACAGCAACCCCTGAGCACTTGAGATCTCATCACTCATCTAAATGTCATTACAGCACAATAATGAGGTAGATGGAAATTTATTGCATTTTCTCCAAATCTGGTGGACTCTAAATCATTCTGAGAGGTACTGAAATGCGATGAATTCACATGGATGAAATTCCCTGGTTTAACCTGAAATAACTGCTGGAAAGAAGTGCTAGGAGTCAAATGAGAAGTAGAAGAAGCGCTGACATGGCAATCAGCCTAAAGAAGGATCCCTGCCTTACATAATATTCATCTGATTTCAAGCCATGTGCCTTCTGAGAAGTCCACCTCTCTAAAGGAAGAACTCTGGGTTTTATCATTTGAATGCAACAGCTATGTTTGACCTCTTGACCCAGAGGTCAATGTGGTCGTCAATAGTGTTAAAATCAGAGAGGCAAAGATCACAAGACATTAATTAATCCTGTGAAACATGACCAGCTAATCTCAACCTTAGACGGCACAATGACAAATGACCATCGATAATCATCTTCTGCATATTGCAAGCAAAAATGTTGAGCACTGGATGAAATCGCCAATTTCACTCTGACTGCCAAGATTATATGCAACTTCTGAAGTTTTTACCAGTGCACAACCTTTGATTGATTATTTGAGTTATTTCCAAACGCCAGTCTATTACTACAGTGGCATCAGTTTTAAACAAACCCGCCTCTAAATGGTACAGCGCTGGTGGTTACATTTCAGTCAGATCCTGATTTGTCTTGGTTATTGGCCAAAATAAACTTAAATTTGGGTCACATTTATGCCGATATTTATGGCTCTGCAGGTGACCAACTACTTGAAGCTACTGCTTTAAGACTTCAAGTTGAAAATCCACCCAGAAAAGCGCATAGTATTTACCTTCACAGAAGTACTTAATTAGGCCTGTCTTGAAGAGTTGCTGGAAGTGGTGTCAGACACTAACAGTTTAAATTCAGGCAATTTTTGCTCTGGCCAGAATGGTGTCAAACTGTGGACTAATGGAATCTTTGTGGA